ATGTTTTTAAAAACATAATCTATGAAGTCAAAAACTGCAGAAAGTTCTGAAGAATCAATGGCTCAGGTTTTACGGGCAGATTCCTGAAATTAGATAAAAAGCGCTCTTGTGTTCTAGGTATAACTGCTTTGAGTCCTTAATTCAGAGTTAGTAGAGGCAACTGCAAAAAGCAGCAGCCCATGTGTGATAATATAAAGCTGTCTTTGAAAAAAACAAAAAAAACCTTTCGAAGCAGTTAGTTTAGATTCAAGTGTTAATAAAGCAAACAGCTAAGCACACTACTAAAGCAAAAGAATTAGGAGCAAACAACTGGAAACACGTTTTTAGAGGCAACCCCGTTGATAATCACCGGAAAAGTCCTACAAGCCAGGAAACATTGCAGAGAATTTTTCCGTGGATCCCTGAATTGCTGGTGAAATTTAGCAGCTACCTAACTTAAACAGAAATGGGTTTATGTGGGGAGGTTTGCGTGCTTTTAAAGTGTCTGTTCCCTGGGGCTTGCCTGGGAAAGCTTTAAATTGCAGCAAGGTTAAAAATCGCACTTACAGTTGCAAGATCCGGAGTGCTTCACTTCCAGCAGCACACCTGAGGCGCAGGCAGCTTCTTTCATGGCACACTCGCTGGCATAAGTGGCATTGTCACTGGCACAGACTGGCTCGTCCGATTTACTGTCAGGGCACAGCTCATCGCAGAGGGAACACCGGCCTCTCCCAACCTTGAAATCCCATAAACATTTTTTTCCTCCAGTGCACTGGATGTCTTCACAGGACTTTGCTTCTAGGATATAATACATCTGTGATGAGTAAACTGATTTCCCTATTTCCCCTTTTTCTGCCTTTCTCTAGTCCTCTATCAATAAATATAAAAACAATTATACCTTATTGCTTACTAATGGGGGTAATGAAGAGTATTATGCAAAAATGCTTGATAATAAAACTGAAACTCACACACACACACACACACACACACACACACACAAACTGCCCCCCCAAGTTTCCTACACATTACATTATTATGTGAAAACAGTATTTTTTATAACAGGATTTCACAGTATCCCTGAGTAAAATATGTATCTTATTATTTCCCATAAGTGGGATCCTTTAAAAGAGAAAGAATTCCATCAATTACTAGGATCCTATAACAGATTTTAGGAACTGTTAAGTAATTATTTTTTGCTTCCAGCAAGTCTGGCACTTAAAAAATGTGTAAAATTTAGTGAGTTTTAAGTTTTCTAAGTTGTAATATTGTTTCCTGCTTCTTCCTGGCATTTGAATATACATGTCAACACTTCCAGAAGACAATGGTCTCCAAGAGGAATGTTGTGGTCACAACAGTTTACCCAAACTGTAGAGTATTTCTCCCTCTGGTGAAACTTTGTTTGGGGAAATCTTGGGCTTTATTTATTGATTGACCCCACAGTTTTAACACTACAACTAGCCCGTTTTCTCTTTTTCTTTCCTCAATCCAGAATACCTACTGATACACTTTCCCTCATAGGCTAATCCGATAGATCTGCCCAGCAGGCAGGTAGCCTTTCTCAGGTGGCAGGCACTGGAGTAGGTCACTCCATCGTTCCCACAGAGATATTGCTCAGAGGATGTGGGCTCCGGGCAAATCCGATTACACGTCACACAGTAGGCATTATTGGTCTGGTCCACCACACACGTGGAACTGCCTGGACAGAAAACATCCCGACAAGTCTCTGAAACGAAGAGGACAACACACATAAATAGGTGCCATCTGGTCCTTAGGGAGTTAGCATTTCGTATTATCAAGGAAATCATGAAGCTGAAGCCTCTGGCTTTCAAAAGGCACTTTGGGAGCCTTGTGGTTTTCAAGAGAATATCTATGACTCTAAGGTTGTTCCTTCATCATTCTTCATGAGTCTTTAGAAGTTAGAAAAGGCCTTCTTTATATGGTATAACTCTTATTAGTAGCAGTAGTACTTTTAGGCTCTTACTGTGGACTACATCCCCGAGGGGGCTTCTAGGGGGTCTACTTCAGGTACAAAGCTGGAGGAGGGGAGCCGGGTCTTGCTCAAAAGGGTAGGACCTACTTTTACATTTGCCTTGGTACTGGACTTCCAGTTCTGGCTGCTCTTTACATCTGGCCTTGAGGAGTGCACATTCATTGCGGTAGGTTTTCCCATCCAGCCCACAGACTGGACCCTTCCAAGTGATGTTGGAACAATCTGGGGCACAGACGCAGCGGGGTTTGTTCTTCTTGTTCATTCGGCATTTTTTCCCGGGTCCACAGTCCACATTCTCACACGTTTCTATGAGTTGGAGAGAGGCATGGATTAAAACCAGGGCCAGGCAGTCTGCAGGTCAGCCAGGAGGGCTGCGGGTGCCTTGCGCAATCATGCAGCCCCGAGTTCACGCTGGAGGAGCCCAGGCTCTCTCCTACAAGACTGGGAGGGGGTGAAAGGGTGGGGACTGTGGGCTGTGCCCCTTACCCAAGTCTCTCTCATCAAAGAGTGCGGGTTGACTGGCTCCACCACCACACTTGGCTAAGAAGTCCAGAGTGTTTTGCCTACAGCCTGTAACAGGCAAAGTTTGGACCCGAATGGCTTGCCAGGGTTGCGGGAAGGAAGGGGAAGCCCATGAGCAAAGCTCTCCTAGTCCCAAATCCCAGCCAGGTAGTGGGGCAGCTGTGGGTAAGACGCCCTCTACTGAGGGCCTGCACGTGGGGGAAGAAGAGTCCTACCTTTACAGGGGATGCAGTTGGGGGCGCCCCCATTGAAAATCATCCACTTGAAGAGCGTGTTGTCATTTACGTCCTCCTCGGTCCACGAGGTGCTCAGGCGGCCGGTGCTGCAGCACTCCTCCTTGCTCAGTTCTGTCTTGTACAGGACCTGGCAGCGACCGTTCTTCGCTTGGCGTAGCCAGCAATTCCCAGCTGTGAAGACACAGGGGTGGGGAGGCGGATGAGTGAGCATCGATGGGGCAGGGGGTGGGAGGCGGCTAGGGAGGGAGACCCGGTGGGGATGGGGAGGGGGTGAACATGGAGGAGGGGAAGAGAGAGCGACAAGGGAGAAAAGCAGAAAATAAATGGAAGGGGATGGAGGGGTGGGAAAAGAGGGGGGAAAAAGCCCTGGTCACAGAGGTGGGAGGTGGGTGAAGGGGGAGAAGCCAGAGCGCCCCAGCCATATCAATGTCAGTTACCAGTGACCCAGACACAACACGTGCAGCTTGCATTGACTTTTACTAGACTGTTTACTTTTATTCGTCCCATTTCATAACCTGCAGCGACTCGAAGAGCAGATTAAAGAACCTGACAAAAACAGGATGCGACGGATGTTTTTACATGTTGGTTTCATGTAGGCGGTAGGGGAATTATTTGTGACAGGGGTTAAGAAAGTAGGAGAATGGGGCGGGGGGAGGGAGAGAGACCGACAGACCGAGACACACAAAACACACACACACACACACACACACACACACGCACACACACGCAGGAACAGATCAAGCAAAAGGCACTTGTGAAAAATGAAAGCAAAAAAAGCAACCCGGCCCAGCCCGGAGCTACCCCGCGCGGCCTCGAGGCGCAGCCCGCCCGACGGGCCCGTTTTGCAATCCGCCAGACCCGGAGCACGCCCGCGGCCACCGCGATCTTTCGAAATCTCCGAGGGCTGCCTTCCCTGGCGCCCACGTCCCCGGCGCCCAGGCAGCGCCTCTCCCTGAAAGGCGGGCAACCCCGAGCACTGCCGTGCAGACGGCCAGGGGCAGTGCCCAGGAGGGCAGTTTGCAACACACTTAAAATGTTAACGCTAAAGCAGGGAAAGTAACACGTTAAAGAGGGGAGGTTTCTTAGCATTTCACGGCCATCTATACACCGATCTCACACCTACCACGAAATCTCTGCTAGTCATTTCTCCCCCTTCCCCCTTTTTAATGTTCGGATTTGGATCAGGAAGACTTCTCGTGAATCACTAATATGACTTTAATTGGACCGTAGGCTGCTATTACTGTTTTCAAAATTTTGCCCCAAAACTAATTGAAATTAATTTTTAAAAGATACACTTAAGAAATTTGCTCTTAATCCCTTCCAGAATTTAAATAGGTTGTGGGCTGCTCACTGTTTTACAGAAAGTTAACAGAGGAATGAGGCAAAGGGGAAAAAAACTGTAGAGTATTAAAGTCCTCCAAACACTTTGGGGGTAATAATTTAGTTTTTTTTTTTTTTTTTTTTGCGGGGTTGGGGGAGGGGGTTGGAAGAAGCATCCACTAGTCACAAAGCTACTTCTCCTCTAAAATTTTCAGCACCCATATTTCCAAGTTTGGGCAAAGTTTCTGAAACCACGTCCCCCAGCCACCGAAGAAAATTCAGTATCTCTCCCCCACCCCACCCTCCAGGTCATTTTTAAAAGTATCGGAAAGATGTGGGAAGGAGAGAGGTTAGACTGCAAATGGGTCGACTGGAATTTCCAGGCTACTGATACTTGTCCTCCTCTTCAGAGCCAAACAGGGAGATAACATCTAAAGTCATCATGGCCAGAACTTGGAGCATCTAACCCTAACTACCGAGAGACTTCAGCTCACTCCCTTTCCTTTTTATGGATAACCGAGCTCCCAACTCCGCTCCCAGTCCCAAAGTGTCACTGCCTTCAGTCTTCCCACTCCTCTCCATCCCGGAGTCGCTAAGTTGGTCCAACATCTTCTGAGAGCAGCGTTGCTCAGAGCAGACCAAGCGGAGACGACAGAAAAGTAGAACCCCTGCCCTCAGCCGAGCCTCCCCAGCGCATCCCCCTCGCTTACCCTGGGCGCTGCGGTCCTCCATAAACTGGCAGAGCAGCAGCAGCAGGAGGCAAAGCCCGCCGGGCTGGTGCCTCGCACGGACCATCCTGGGGGCAGGCGCGGGGCGAGGAGCGCGGCGGCGGGTGGCTCGGGCGAGCGGCGCGCGTCGCAGAGGCCAGCGGCGGAGGGCGCAGCGATCCCGGCGCAGCCCCGCGCTCGCCGCCGGCCGCCCGCGCGATTCAATGGACGTCAGAAGCCGGGCGCAGCCGCGCTTTAAATCTAGACGGGGGTCTCCGCGGTTTGCGGTGGGCGGTCTCCCAGTGTGTGGGGCCGTGGGAGGGCGGCCGCGAGCGAGGGTGTGCGCGGCTCCTTGGGGGTGGGGAGCTTTTAAAAGTTCAGTGTGAATCAGGTGACATTTCCCACCTTCTGGAAACCCTTCCCAATTATCTGTCGGAGGTGCCCGAAATCAAAGCGGCAGGAGGGGAATCGCCGAGTTCTTATTTGCGTAGGAGCGAGAGGGAGGGGGAAGGCGACCCGGCGGGGGGTGGGGAGTGGGGAAGAACACCCACTTCAAGTCCTGCACGCCGCCGCTCGCAGGCAGCGCCGGCGCGCCCGGGGTGGCGGGTGTGTGTGTGTGTGTGTGTGTGTGTGTGTGTGTGCGCGCGCGAGTGTGAGGGGGAGGGCGCGGTGGGGGCGCTGGAGGCGGCGGCGGGCGGAGCGGGGGGAACCCGGGAGTTTGTCTCCGCACTGTCGCTGCTCCGCTCCAGGAAGACTTTGCAAACGCCTGGAGAGCCCCGAGCTGCTGCAATATCCCGCCCGGGGTCGGGTCGGAACGCGCCGGCCTCGCGGCAATTTCAGGCCCCGCAGCCCGGGCGCGGGGCCCGGCGAGGTTTTGTGTCTGGGTCTGTGCGTGCCTTCTTGCGGCCACCCCCAGCCCTGAGTTGTTGCTAGGAACCCCCGCCCGGCACCTTCCACCCTGGCGGAGCGCTGCGGAGACGCGGCTCTCGTCTGGACGACTCACAAGCAAACAAAAATGTTTAACACCTCACGCCCGGCCTCCCCCCGTCACAGTCTCGCCCTCTCCCTTTCTTTTCTCCCCTTTCACTTCGCGGCGTCTGGAGTCGCAGCCCGGAGCGGGGGCGCCGATGTAGGCGGTCTCCCCCCTCCCCGGCGCGGAGACTCCCTCGTTTCTGTCCTGTGTGTCTGTCTGTCTCTCAGTCTCCTGGGCCTCTCTCTCTCCCTCCTCTCTTCGCGGAATAAAAAAGATTGCAACATCGATAATGAACTTCTGTAGCCTCAGTTTATTAAGTACAGTGCCTGGCATTCTTCGCTGAAAGTTGGCGGGTCTCTCATTTATAACATTTTTGGCACCGCTGAATGAAACTGAGGAGGCGATATTTCCTTTTATATAAAACGATTACTTCACGGAAAATGCTATATTGTTTATTCCAAAGCTGCCTTTTTAATTTCTATTCTTTTCTCTTCTGAAGCCCGAAGGACAACAGACAGCGAAGTATGCAGACAAAATTCTTGGACATTCGCAGGTCACCGGGATTTGTTCTCCTACGGATTTCAAATCCGCCCTTCTTTGCCCCCTCTCAACCCCCATCCCCCGCCGACCCTCCCCCAGTCCTCTCGCCCTCCCACCCCCATCTTCCATCAACCCCCTCCCGCCCCCTCCACAACTGCAAATAACTCAGTGATAACAGATTTTTTTCCACCAACTGCAGGAGATAGTGCTAATCTTTTAATAAAAGATCCCATTACAATGGGATCTGTCTGGACAGACTATAATAGATCCCGAAATACAGCCGTGCTAATATTAGAAGACAGTTGTTTGGGTGCCTCTCAGACGGGCCCAAGCCCCCCTTTGAAAGTGGGCATGAATCACAAAGCCCCGCGGCCGCCGCACCTGCACCGCGCGCATTCGGTGCAGCAGGCTGGTAAAAACGGGTGACCTCGCCGCCGCTTTTCCCTTTATAATTACCGTCGTGAGGACGGGAGGGGAGGGGCGCGGGCGGCCCGGGGGAGGCTGGCTTTTTGCTCACTTCAGACGGCTCTGGGGGCTCCACATCCTTCTTAATCTTTCCAGATTCATTTTGTCTCTGTCTCTGTCTCTATCTTGCTCTCTCCCCTTCTCTCTTTCCTTCCCGTCCTCCCACCCCTTCCCTCGTTTCTCTTTCCCTCCCTCTACCCCGACTCTGCCCAAATTCTCCCTCCCTTTTCTCCCTCCCCTCTTTCTTTTCCTGTCTCCTTTTCTCTCTTCCCTCCAATGCATTAATGTAGAGTTGTTTAGTGCCCTCTAATGGCAGACGACATTAACAATTAATAGCAAACTGTCCCCTTTGCAGGAGCCGCCACTCAATGGCAGAGTTCCAAAGTTGAATTTATTTCTTCTTTCTTGAGAGGGATGGAGATATAGTGCTTATACAGTGATGTGCTGGAAGGAAAGTTTGTTTTCTCCCCTTCAAGGCTTTTTCCCCCCAGGGAAAACTTATTTAAAGAATGGGGCAAGCTAATGATTACTGTTATTTGATTTTTTAAAATTTCAGTACAAATCTGTCTTTTAATAGCAGCAAGAGATACAGCTTCTGTTTTAGCTAGGTTTATTAAACCATATATTCAGGGTTGGAAACTAAATTAAACATTCTAAGTGCATAAAAGATCTTAGATGGTAGATTGTTGGATCTTATGGCAGTGCTACCAATGGCCATTAAAACATTTTTAAGACCCAAACATAATTACACAATTTTATATTTGTTCTTGGCTTAAATACATTTATTGGTCCTGAATTGGCCTGTTGCCTCTGGAAGCCAGGGCCTTTTTCTTAGACCTTCCACCCTAGGACCATACAAAATGTTTAAATTTTACTGGTGCCCGGTTGTATATGAAGTCATCTTGCCTAGAGAAGTAGAGAGTCACTTTTTAATCCACAGTTTATTTTCTTAATACTTTTGGAAAGAGTGTTTTAAAGTCTGTAATTACCTCATATTTTATAACCCTATAGCAGTGAAAATAGTGATGTAACTTGTATGTTATTAGATTTAAATTTTGTTTGTTTATGTATGCACATGTAATATGTTGATGTAAAAAGGATCCTAGAGGAATATACAAATATCATTTTTGCGGGGGGAGGATCTATAGGCTAAATGAAAATTAGAATGGAAGAAATTTGGAAGGTTAATCAAAAAATTGATTTGGGCATTTGAGCAAAAGTATTTGGTTGATCCAGACAGTTATCTTAGTTTCTGTATATAGAAACAATTGGTGTCATAAAAACTTTCTAAATTAATGAATCCACAATGTATCCACACAATTCCAGTATGATTGAGTAAAAAGTAAAAATTCTATTTCTATTTTATTTTTTGTTTATATAATGCCAAATACTCAGACCAATCATTCGAATAAATCGACTGCATTGACTAGTTGTTTTGACATCGTGTAATTGTGTTGGCTAGGCCAAAGCAGACACAGTAGCTCTCATTGTAAAAAATGCCACTACTCAGAGGACTCCTCCAGTAGCAGACGCAGACCCAATGCAGGATTACTTCTCACCCCAGAGAAGGTGGCTCTGCAGGTCAGGGTTGAGGTCACTGGCAAACATACTGTGGAAAACACAAGTGCTGCGTTGCCTTTGCCCTTGTGAATAAGCAGCTTGGTGTTTGTTTAGTGATACAAGCTCATCCTGTTTTTCAGCTGCACCTTGGATAGTATTGATCTGTTTGGGAGAATGTCTGCTCTGAATCTACACAGATCGGTTACCAGGACTCTTGTCATCCTGGATTATATTCTGGCTATAACTGAGGAAACGAGACACAGGTCAATACTGGTTCCACATGGGCCTTCTGTGGTCATCAGCAAGAGATCCATCCCATTTCTGTGGTATGAAATGGTACCACACCTGTTCAGTGACATCACAGAAAAACAGCTGCTATTTCTTTTATTGTTTTATCTCCTGTAAATGTTCAATATTGGATTTGTAGATATCTAAATGTCAAGGGGACATTTTAAAACAAAAATGCCGTCTTTCATTTTTGTTGTATGCCTCCAAGTTTGACTTCTTATTTTTTTCCTATCTGCTCTGCCAAAAAAGTAAATGTAAATTATGAGAAACACAATAGGACCAGTTTGTAACTGAATTTCTGGGCAGCACACAAAAGGACTACTGTTCTCTGATTGTTTTTTTGTCAGCTTCAAAAGCTGTCTTCCTTCTGAAGTTTATAAATTTAAAATATTAGAGTTTAGCAAATGGTTCAACCTAGCTCCCAATATAGCTATTTAAACTCATGCAAAATTGTTGTTTGAGACCAGAACTGACCTGGTTAAATTTTAGCCCCTAAAAAGAGAACATGGAGGGAGTGGAATGAGGTTATATATGCAAAATTTGAAAGTTATGAACTGAGCAGCTTTTATTTTTTTTTCCTTAAAATTAAATGTCAAGATTTTTTGAAGCTAGATGTTTTGTAAAATTAATATTTTCAAAGGCAAATCATCTTGATTAAACAACAAAATTTAAACATTTGAAATATAAGCAGAAATGATTTTAAAATCAGATTCTGTTCTTCTAGGTACAAAGACAGTTACTCAATGCATCATGGTCTTTGGCATTGTGCAACTTCATAGGCTAGAATAAAGATTTGAGTGGGGTGTGAGGGGTAATAGTTCTATATTGGGTGAATTGTTGCAGAACTAAAAAGTTAAGAAATATGAGTACATGAAAGCAATGTTTGTCCAAGATGTCCAAGCCACCAGTTGATTAACTTCTTAAAAAAATCATTAGAAAATGTGTTTTAAAATATAGTACTGAAAAAACAATTACTTGATTACTTGAACTTTTCTCTTTTCAGTGTTCATTTGGTGTTATGTAGAGTTAATCAATCATGCACAGCCCTTTCTTTTTGCTACTACTTGTTTCTGTGCAACATTTTTATTGCCTGTTTTCCCCCCCAATTTTAGAAATATTTTGGGTTTCCAGAAGTCAGATATGTGGCATATAGTCAAACTAGCCATATCAGCATATTCAAGTTCAACATAATTAAGTCATTAAAATAAACCTTGCTAAAGAATTCAAATTATGCCTCAGGATAGGAATGTTACATTGGATTAATAGAAAGTTCTAAAGTGTTTTAGGTCACTTTGACAATATAAATGATTCATATATTTGGATATGGCTGAGAATATCAGTGTGTGACCTCTACCACTTTTAACCCTGATTCCATTTACACTTTCTACTGCTTAGAAAGTGTGAGGAGGAGGGCGATCCAGGATTTGCTGTTCTGTTTCCCAACTTCATGTTAGAAACAATGTGTCAATCAAAGTAAGAGCCACATTTCTGGATTATTCATTGGCTGAAGATGAGTGGTATGATATAGTTACTTTTGTATATTTTGGTTTCTGCTCCCTCATTTTAGCATTTCATAAAGTATCAGTGGTTTGCATACTTAATAATTGATTCTTTTCT